TGAAATAAAAAATTTCTTTTTACTTGGAACGAAGTTTAAGCTGTAATGTATTTTCTATTTTGTTCGATGACCTTTTGCCGTCTCTCTGACAACTTGAAAATTCCACGCTCGTAGAAAGTGTGATCCTTTTCGGCCAAAAACTGAGTTAAATGAGATTTTACAGCGTCATCGTCTCATTCAAAGTTTTACCACGAAGAGAGTTGTCCAGGGATCGAAATAAGTGGTAATCCGATGGCGCGAGATCAGAGCTATATGGTGGGTGTAACATCGATTCCCAACCAATATCCATCAATTTTTGCCGAGTGGACAAAGACGTGTGCGGCCTAGCATTATCCTGCTGGAAAATCACACCTTTACGATTGACCAATTCTGGTCGCTTTTCCTTGACCGCTGCATTCAATTTGTCCAGTTGCTAACATTCACGGATAATAAAAAATAACATAATAATAATAATAATAATTTTATGATATAACATTTACGGATATCATAGAAATGGGAGTGAGAGACATCTATAACTGAAATCGGCAATTACTTAGTTGCCAACCCAGTATAATGATTTCAAACGATTTTTCATCCGGCAATTTTAAAGTTTCTTCCGTTGATGATTTTTTTCTTGTATCCAGATCGAAACGGAGTTGACGTATCTTCTGGAAATCGAATAATTTTTTTGACCTACAAGTTGAGTTTTATCAATTTCTACTATGATCAATCAATTTCTATAACTGAAATCGGCAATTAGTTAGTTGCCAACCCAATAGTTTACTGTAATCTTTACGTAGCTCTCGAATGGAAATTGTTCTAACGGATGTTTTAAATGTATTTATTTAAAACAGTCATTCGACGTATTTGCTTGCGGTATAAAATTACAAACAAGTCGTGATAGGTCGAACTAAAGCGTAAAACAAAAATGGACAGAAATTAAGAACAAATCATTTCCATTGATTTCATTTACCTTGCATTCGTTCAAGTCTATCAACGCCTTCTCCAAGTCAGCTTCGAGTTTGTCCATCTCCATCTTGATCTTACAATGCTCTAATTTCCAGTATTCGAGATCCTCCTTCAATTTAGCGATCTCCGCCTTCAGATTAGCAATCTCCTTCTTTAAAGAGTCGATCTCCGCTCTCAAATCGGCGCACTCTGCTCTCGCGCTGTTCAATTCGTCTTGCACGTTCCGCAACTTCGATTGTAGCCCTTCGTTCTCCTCCGTCAACGCGGCATTCTTCGCCCTGGCCTCGTCGAGTGCTTCGCTTAAATCTTGCACCTTACTGTTTAGCATCATCGCGTCGTTTCTCATAATTTCGTTGGTCTTCTTTTCTGCGTCAAGCTTCGTCTTTAAATCGTTCGCTTCGCCTTCCAAAGTATTCAGATCGTTCCGTAGCCTACCATTTTCGTCGCGCAGCCCGTTTAATTCGTCGTTCAACGCGTCCCTTTCCTTCCTCAGTTGCTCGAGTTCGGCTTTCAACTTCTCGCGCTCCTGTTCGCACGAGTCTGCATCTTTCTTCAGCCCCTCGTTCTCGTCCTTCGAGCGAGCCAGCTCTTCCTTCAACCGGGCCAACTCGTCCTTTAACTTATCGTTCTCATTGTTCGTATCGTCCAATTGTTTCTTCAGCTGATCCTTCCCCCTCTGCAAAGCAGAGTGTTCATCCTTCAATTTACCTAATTCTGCTGCCAACGCGTCCTTCTCTCGTTCGAGTCGCTCGGTCTCGTCGTTCAGCGAATCTTTCTCTTTCCTTAGTTCCTCGACTTCGGCTTTCAGCTTATCGTAATCATCTCTGCACGCTTCCCCATCTGTTCTCAGCTTCTCGTTCTCGTTCCTCAACCGTTCCAACTCGTCCCTCAGCCTCTCGATCTCATCGTTCGCGTCGTCCAATTGTTTCTTAAACCGATCCCTCTCGTTCCGCAACGCAGAACGTTCATCTCTCAGCTTGTCTAATTCCGCCGCCGACGCGTCCTTCTCCTGCTTAATGCGATCGAGTTCGCCGTTCAACGCGGCTTCTCTCTGCTTTCCGCTATCTATTTCCGCTCGAAGCTCCTCCGCTTCCCTCTTCAGCCGCTCCACCTCAGCCAGTAACGCGTCCTTTTCACCAGCCAGTCGATCCAAATTTTGTTTAAGCGCTCCGTTCTCGTCTTTCAGCTTATTCAGCTCGTTGGTCACACCGTCCAATTCCGCCTCGGCCCGCTGCAAATCGTCCCGCAACGAGTCCCCATCGGCCCTGCATTGATCAAGCCCCGCTCCGAGAGCCTCATTCTTCGCCTTAAGCTCGGCATTTTCGGCTTTTAGTTTCTCCATTTCATCCACGCACTTGTCCAGGCCGTCCCTCAGAGAATCCATCTCCGCTTTCAGCTGATCGATCGTGCTCTTGGCCCTCGCTAATTCTCCCTTCAGACGCTCCAGTTCTACCAACAGATCGGCATTCTCTGCCTTCATTTTTCCCAGGTCTTTCAACGCGTCGTCCAATTTTTGTTCCAATTCCAAATTCTTGGCTTTCACGTCGGCGTTCTCGCTGGCCAGACGGTCCTTCTCCGCTTTCAAATCCTCCATCCGCGACTCAAATTCATCGATCTTCGTCTTTGCGTATGCCTCTGCAGCTTTCAATGCGTCCCCATCGCCTCTCAGCCTGTCAACCTCTTTCCTCGCGTCATCAAGGTCGCTCCGCAACGCCGACATGTCTTGCTTCAACGCGTCGTTCTCCGATTGCGCCGCGTCCAAGCTATTCTGCAACTCGCGGTTTGCTTCATTCGATTTATCAAGCTCCGCTTTGTAGTCACTATTCTCCTCCCTTAATCTATCGTTCTCCTCTTCCGCCATGTCCAGCCGACCTTTCAGATCCGAATTCTCTTCTCGCAGTGCCTCCGTCGCGTTCCAGGCAGCTTCGAGCTCTTTCTGCAAAGCCTCGTTGGCCGCCATCTCGTCCGCCAATTGATCAGACAACGCGTTAACCCGCTCCTTCGTTTCGTCCAACTGTTTCAACAGTTTGTCCTTGTCATTCTGCAGGGCGTCTACCTCTCCCCGGAGATCCGCAATCGCAGCTTTCGCGGACGCGAGTTCGTTTCGCAGTGTTCCCAGCTCGTCCTCCGCGAGCTGTAATTTCTTCGAAAGCTCGTCTCTATCCGCGCAACACTTCTCCAGCTCCGCGACTCGCTTGTTACGCTCGTCGACCTCGCCCCGCAGATTCGCTATCTGCGACATCAGGTCGTCGATCTCCTTTTTCAAGCCGTCGATAATCCGCTCGGCCTCTTGTTCCTTTTCTGCCATCTCCTGCTCCAGCTTGTTCTTGTATTCCAGGATCTCGATTATTTGGTCGTTCCTTTCCTCTAATAGTTTTCTCAATTTCGCCACCTCGTCTGTCAGCGAGTCCCGCTCGTCTTCGAGTTCGGATATACGAGGCTTCAAGGTGTCCAGCTCCGATCGTAGGTTGCCCAGGCCCAACAGGTCTATCTCCGATTGTCTCATTTCGTTTAGGAGATCTCTCACCTGGAATTCATTAGTAGCATTACTTAACCTTTTAGGCAGGACGCGCCACTATAGTGGCTTCCGCGGATGTCATCTTTCAGAACGACACGTCACTATAGTGGCCTCCGCGGATGTCATCTCTCTGGACGACGCGCCACTATAGTGGCTTGCTCTAGTAGCTCACTCGCTCATCGTTTGAATCGAACAATCGTCTTCATATTCATTGTTTCACACTTCTTTTGTCTTCACATCGATTTACAACAGTCAACAGGGTGTCCCAAAAATGTCTCGCAATCCGGAAATGGCGGGTTCCTCGGATCATTTGAAACAACTTCTTCCTTTACAAAAATTTTCTCCGAGGCACCGTTAACGAGTTATTAATGAAAAACAGTGACCAATAAGAATCGAGTACGGCTGACGCGAGGCGGCCCAGCCAACCAGCGCGCGAAGCCCAGTTCCGCTCATTGGCTCGATCGCCTCGCGCCAACCGAGCTCGCCTCTCATTGATCACTGTTTTTCGTTAATAACTCGTTAACGGTGCCTCGGAGAACATTTTTGTAAAGGAAAAAGTTGCTTCAAATGGCCCGAGGAACCCGCCACTTTCAGATTGCGAGACATTTTTGGGACACCCTGTATATACAGACAGAATATACAGTATCAGACTCTGTACAGTACCTAAAAGGTTAATTCGACCGCATCTTCTTGTTATAGTGCCCAACAAATTTCTTTACGAATGAACTTGAAAAGATGTTTTCAGGTTATTTACTATGACGGTGATTATGCCTTTAACTAATTTGTTGTTGACTTTATGCAGCATATTCGGGAAAATCGTGTTATAACCGCCAGTGAAGTGATTTCTGACACAAAACTGAGCCGTAAATATGGCATCAAATTTTTTTATATAGGGCTTCATTTTCGAGAAAATTGTGTTTGAACATTCGATACGTACGTTAGGTACTATATATTAAATGTATATGTTACATTAATATATATTATATAAATGAGCCCGGGATCATTGTCGCACGATTCAAATGCTTTTTGACAACGTATATAGTTCGCGTAATTTCTTAACGCGTAAAAGAAACTGTGAAAATTTTGTAGTCATTGAATAATGATCATAGTGAACAAAACGCAACAAAAGTGAAACACGTAAAGTCTGTTCTTTATTGCAAATCGGACAGATTTAGAGAAACGATTGTTATAGGGACAGAACCTAATCCTATTACAGAATTTAATGGAATTAGGATCTGTAATAGGATTAGGTTTATATAGTTAGGTTTTATTTTATATTACATTATTATATTATTATATATATTATTATATTATATTATATTATATAAAATATTATATATATAATAATAATATAATATAATATATATATATATATATATTATATAAAATATTATATATATAATAATAATATAATATAATATATATATATATATATATTATATAAAATATTATATATATAATAATAATATAATATAATATATATATTAATAATAAATATATATATATATTTTTTATACATATATAGATTACATTTTTTCCCCATAACAGTCGTTTGTCTAAATCTGTAATTAAGCTGTAATAAGCGACTTTTTGTCTTTTACCTTCGTTGTGTTTGTTCACCATGATCATTATTCAGTAACTACAAGTTTCCCAAGTTCCTCTTACATAAATATTATCTATTACACATAATATATCATAATAACGTTGACTTTAAAACGTTACAATACCTTGTCATCTCTTTTCTCGAGTTCTATTTTCATAGCCGCAATCTCAGCCAACAGAGCCTGCTCATCCAGCCTGCCTTCGAGTTCTTTCTTCAGTCCCTCGATAATCTTGTCTTTCTCGTCAAGTTGCTGTTTCAATTCGGAAACAGCGAGCTCGCAGTCCCGTAGCTTCTGTAATAGCTCCGAAACGTCTATATATTCAGGAACCGTCGTTGTTTCGGCCGTTCTCAGCATCTCCATCGGTATCTCTTCTTTCGGTCGCTTTTTCTCAAGCTCCGCCAATTGACGACGTAATTCGTCCAGCTGTGCCACGAGCTGTTCATTTTCCAGACGCAGGTCGTCGCAGCTCTTCGAGAGATCCACCAGCGTTTCGATCGATCTTTCCACGACTTTCGAGACCTGCTGGTCCGCTGTTTGACCTCCTTTCATCAGTTCACGGAGCTTCGCCCTCAGGCGATATATCGCAGGACAGCTCACGTCCTCCTCGGTCTGCGCGAGTTTTAATTTCAAGTGCGATATCGTGTCCCTTAATCTGTAGGCGGAAACGAGATTTTTGTTTCTCGTTGGGCAACCTGCAGCAAGACTGGCGCGGCTGCGTTGCGAAAATGGTTAATTGCCTCGATCTGATAATTGAAATAAAGCTACGGCAGGATTGGACAGGTCTTTGATTTCATTTCTAAAAAAATTTACATTTGACATGATCTAATTTACGTAGAAAAATCTGTATAAGAACTCATGCGTAAGATTCGGTTTCTAATTGAACTTCGCTGAATCATCAATGACTGCGTCAGCAAATTTTATTCTATCGCGAAAGGATACATAGATCTATGTGGAATAAGTTTATTTTTTAAGTGAGACGAAATGAAATAATTGTGTGAATTACGAATGTGAATCTTAATTGTTGACGGACGTTGTGGCCCCAATAATCGAAATATTGGGTTGGCAGCCAGATACAGTAATGTAATTGACCCTCAGCTTATACAAAAAAAATGTACAACTTGGGGAATAGGAGATACGATTATTCGAGCCTCGCAGTTCGTTTTCATAGTTACGAATTGTCAAGAACAATAAAAACGAGCTGCAAGGCTCGAATAATCGTATTTCCTCTTCCCAAACTCTCCATTTTTTGTGCACAATCTGAGCGTCAATTAGGGAGACATTACTGCACTGTCTATTTAAAAATGTTGTCCATACAAGCAGTTCTAAATATTGAGTTGGCAACTAAGCAATTGCCGATTTGTTCAATGAAATACAAAATTTTTTTTTACCTGGAACGAAGTTTAATCTGTAATGTATTTTCCATTTTGTTCGATGACCTTTTGCCATCTCTCGAACAACTGTTAACACGAAGAGAGTTGTTCAGAGATCGAAATAAGTGGTAATCCAATGGCGCGAGATCCGGGCTATATGGTGGGAGTAACATCAATTCCCAACCAATATCCATGAATTTTTGCTGAATGGACAAAGACGTGCGCGGCCTAGCATTGTCCTGCTGGAAAATGACACCTTTACGATTGACCAATTCTGGTCGCTTTTCCTTGACCGCTGCATTCAATTTGTCCAGTTGCTGACATTCACGGATAATAAAAAAATAACATAATAATAATAATAATAATTTTATAATATAACATTTACGGATATCATAAAAATGGGAGTGAGAGACATCTATAACTGAAATCGGCAATTACTTAGTTGCCAACCCAATATATAGATGTGAAAGTGCTCATATTATTCAAAAAATTGTTACGAAAAACCTATAAAATAGACACGATTCAGCATTTTCAGAAATAACGCACAAAAAAAACACCGTAAATTATCGATTTTTCTTTTCAAGGGACCAGGGACATTGTTTCGTTCGAAAAAGTTCGAAACAATGAGATATCGAGGCAATTACATCGTCCATGTTACGAACACAACGGAACTCGGATTCTCACAATAAAGAACCGGCGACAAATACTCTTTCTTTTCAAGTGCAAAGCGCTCCCGTAGAACTCTCATCTTCTCTCTGATATAGTGTACCGATGCACAAGGATCGTCGCCGTAATCTCGTTCGGCGAGGGTTTCTTCCAGATCCCTCACTTTATCTTCGAGCGCCGCGTTTGCATTTTGCAGCCATTCGATTTCTTCCCGAGACTGCACGAGCAGCGGATCAGGCTTCAATATCTCATCCACATTTACACCTACACCAAAAACATCTAATCTTTAGAAACACTCGGTATGGTGCACGCGTAAGATACTGATCGCGGGGAGCACTCTGAATTTCAAAGTGATGCCCCTCCCGAAACAACGAGCAGTGTGTCAAGCGTTTTAAAGGGGAATTTCCTTTTCCGTGGAAAAAAATCGATCCGATTCCGCGGATTCTTCTGCCACGATTCTGCGATACTGTCTCCGTGAAATTTCCAGTTGCGATTCATAATGTTCTTAAAGCCTAGCAACGCAGTATCACTAATTATAATAACATATAATTAATATATATATATATATTATAATATACATATTATCATATAATATTATATTATATATATATATATTATAACATACATATTATTATATAATATTATATTATATATATTATAATATACATATTATTATATAATATTATATTATATATAATAATATATTAATAATAATATATATGAATATATTTATTATTATAATATATATACATATATATAATTACTTTCTAATAAAACTCACGCAGGTCCTCAGCACTTAATAAAAATATCATCTAGACACAGATTAAGATAAGAATAACTTTATTGACTTTTGCGTCGAACAAATCATATCAGAATAGAGTCGTTAATGGAAACCAGAAGCATTAAAATTGAAGTTACTTCCACCTTAGCCAGTGTGCTTACTTGCTACGTGAATTTTAAATACGCTGTTAACGTGCAGGAACGAGAAATATTTGAGCATCGAGTATCAGATAACGGAATATCGATTATCGACATTCCTGATTACCCGCATGATTCCGTAAGTCTCGATTATCAGAATATATAACCGGTATTCCTAAATAGAAACTGGTTCCTGCAGCCTTTTTTTTTTTAATTAATTTCACTGCATGTTATGCACGTTACGATTCGTTTATTCCTAGAAACTAACCTTTACTTGTTAAACAAATCGCATTGTTTACCCGATAACCGTATTAATTCATGTATTTGCGTGCGCTTTTGTAAATATACGTAAGACGATTAATATCTGTGTAACGTTCGTTTCAACGCTAAAATTACTAATTAACATTCGAGCCGTGTTAAAACGCGTGATTTATGGTTTAATGTTATGCATATTTAAGCAGATCAATTTTAAATATGTTTCTAGAGAATGTTTTATAAAAATGTAGTCAACGTTTCGATCGTTTATCGAGTTTTATATGAATATTCCTGATTGTTTCAAATAATCCTTGGAAAGAGGATTCGATTGTTTACAATCTGCGAAGGGAAACAGATCCCTCATCAAATAGCTATTATCCCTTGTCGCAGACTCTTCATTAATTCAACGGTTAAGAAATTTCTCAAGACGAATCTGAGGCTTAATTTTTCGCTGCAACTACAGTTAGTTGTTTACTAAAAAGAAAAGCCTCGATCTCAATCCGATTTTAATAAAGCTTTGTGGGACAATGAGCACATTCAAACTATACACAAAACAATTTGCCTGCTTTACAGAAGGAGGAGTGCTTTGCATGCTCATTAAAAAATATGAATACGGCAAAAAATCACGTGGCAGCGTGTAAATTATTATCTTAAACTCTTCTAATTGGTATTTAGTATTCATTCAAAGGAAACGTATTTCATTTTATTAGCAAGGATTGAAGGTTCCTGTGGTCATTTGAAGTAACCTTTTCCTTAGCTGAAATGCAATTCGCGGCTTTGTTTACGAGTTATTAACGAAGAACGCTGACCAATGAGAGGCTGGCGCAAGGCGGCCGAGCCGACCAATAGCCGAAGACCAGTTCCGCTCATTGGCTTAGCCGCCTCGCGAGAGCCGCACTCGCCTCTCATTGGTCAGTGTTTTTCGCTAATAACTCGCGAACAAAGCCGCGTATTGTATTTCCGCTAAGGAAAAAGTTACTTCAAATGATCTCAGGAACCTCCTATTTCCGGATTGCGAGACATTTTTAGGACACTCTGTATAAATGCGGAAACTACAAAGTGCAGACGATATCTATCTATCAAAAGAGCTATCCGAGGGGAACTCAGCTGTACAACGTCAAACAGAAACGCTAAAAAACGAATCATTCCTGTCGCTAATGTCCTCGTAATCGATGCGACGTGAAATCCAAAATTAAAAGAAAGAAAAAAAAGACGCGCTTTGCCGTTTAAATTGTGAAATTCATTCGCACTTTATTCGTAATAAATAGAAGTAGACGAGAAACAAAATAGTAAAAACCTCGGAAGAGCTTGAGAACGTTATTTTGGTTAAATAAACTTAGCTTCTGTGTTTTTGAAGCAAAGTTTGAATATTCTTCTTATATTGATATCGCTGGATATAAATCGATACTACCGAAGCTTGTATCTCCGATAGTGCAGTCCGTTCCCATCTCGTTGCCCGTATCGAAATATTAATTGCTTCGCGTGTTACACGTTTCAATCGGAGCTGGAAAGCCTCAGAAAGGGGCAGAAGAAAACGCGGTTGCGTATGTGTCTGAATTCCAATTAATCAATTTAGCGCGAACCAAGTGACTGGAAAGCAGAAAGTCGGTACGAAATATCATACATCGATACCGAATGACTGCAGGGCTTGTTTCAAAGACCTATTTTCGCTCTCGAACTGAAGTCGTTCCATTCGCCATTTCTTCATCTGACACTTCATTACGGCGAGTTTCCTCAGGGCAAACGGCAGATCGTAAATCTCCGATTCTTTCGAATTGTCGCTGAAGGGATTGTAATTGCAGCTACAACGTGGCTCGTTCGGCGGATTAATTGATTCCGACGAATACGATGACTCGCATCCGCAAGGACAACCTCGATTCTCCATCGTGCGTTAAGCAATCTGTTAACATTTCAATACAATTTTACATAAAGCAATCATTTACATTGAATTTGCATCGCTTTCACGGGTTCACGACGGTTCAATGATCGTGTGTAAGCGCGTGTGAGCGCCAATTAGGGAGAATTTACTGTAATTACCCACATACAGTAATGTCTCTCTAATTGACACTCAGCTTATACACAAAAATGTACAAATTGGGGAATAGGAGATACGATTATTCGAGCCTCGCGGCTCGTCTTTATAGTCGCAGATTATAAACAATTATAAAAACGAGGTGCAAAGCTCGAATAATCATATCTCCTCTTCCCAAGTTGTCCATTTTTGTTTCCCAGCTGAGCCCCAATTAGAGAGAATTTACTGTAATTACCCAGATACAGTAATGTCTCTCTAATTGACCCTCAGCTTATACACAAAAATGTATCAAATGGGGAAGAGGAGATACGATTATTCGAGCCTCGCAGTTCGTTTTCATAGTTACGAATTATCAAAAACAATAAAAACGAGCTGCAAGGCTCGAATAATCGTATTTCCTCTTCCCAAATTCTCCATTTTTTGTGCACAATCTGAGCGTCAATCAGAGAGACATTACTGCACTTTCTATTTAAAAATGTTATCCATACAAGCAGTTCTAAATATTGGGTTGGCAACTAAGTAATTGCCGATTTCAGTTATAGATGTCTCTCACTCCCATTTTTATGATATCCGTAAATGTTATATTATAAAATTATTATTATTATTATGTTATTTTTCATTATCCGTTTAAGATCTGTCTCTTATACACATCTCTTAAATCGGATTGTGTGCGAAAAATTACGTGTTCGAAAAATCTGTAGCCATTAAACATGACCGAATAACGAGGATCATTACCAATACTTTAACATTGAAGATAAATATTTGAGAATATCTTAAACGGATAATAAAAAATAACATAATAATAATAATAATTATATAATATAACATTTACGGATATCATAAAAATGGGAGTGAGAGACATCTATAACTGAAATCGGCAATTACTTAGTTGCCAACCCAATAATTATATCTGTCTCTTATACACATCTCTTAAATCGGATTGTGTGCGAAAAATTACGTGTTCGAAAAATCTGTAGCCATTAAACATGACCGAATAACGAGGATCATTACCAATACTTTAACATTGAAGATAAATATTTGAGAATATCTTAAACGGATAATAAAAAATAACATAATAATAATAATAATTATATAATATAACATTTACGGATATCATAAAAATGGGAGTGAGAGACATCTATAACTGAAATCGGCAATTACTTAGTTGCCAACCCAATAATTATATCTGTCTCTTATACACATCTCTTAAATCGGATTGTGTGCGAAAAATTACGTGTTCGAAAAATCTGTAGCCATTAAACATGACCGAATAACGAGGATCATTACCAATACTTTAACATTGAAGATAAATATTTGAGAATATCTTAAACGGATAATAAAAAATAACATAATAATAATAATAATTATATAATATAACATTTACGGATATCATAAAAATGGGAGTGAGAGACATCTATAACTGAAATCGGCAATTACTTAGTTGCCAACCCAATAATTATATCTGTCTCTTATACACATCTCTTAAATCGGATTGTGTGCGAAAAATTACGTGTTCGAAAAATCTGTAGCCATTAAACATGACCGAATAACGAGGATCATTACCAATACTTTAACATTGAAGATAAATATTTGAGAATATCTTAAACGGATAATAAAAAATAACATAATAATAATAATAATTATATAATATAACATTTACGGATATCATAAAAATGGGAGTGAGAGACATCTATAACTGAAATCGGCAATTACTTAGTTGCCAACCCAATAATTATATCTGTCTCTTATACACATCTCTTAAATCGGATTGTGTGCGAAAAATTACGTGTTCGAAAAATCTGTAGCCATTAAACATGACCGAATAACGAGGATCATTACCAATACTTTAACATTGAAGATAAATATTTGAGAATATCTTAAACGGATAATAAAAAATAACATAATAATAATAATAATTATATAATATAACATTTACGGATATCATAAAAATGGGAGTGAGAGACATCTATAACTGAAATCGGCAATTACTTAGTTGCCAACCCAATAATTATATCTGTCTCTTATACACATCTCTTAAATCGGATTGTGTGCGAAAAATTACGTGTTCGAAAAATCTGTAGCCATTAAACATGACCGAATAACGAGGATCATTACCAATACTTTAACATTGAAGATAAATGTTTGAGAATATCTTAAACGGATAATGAAAAATAACATAATAATAATAATAATAATAATAATTTTATAATATAACATTTACGGATATCATAAAAATGGGAGTGAGAGACATCTATAACTGAAATCGGCAATTACTTAGTTGCCAACACATCGTGTTTCTGATGTTATAATTCAATTTCAATCGTACAAAGCTTTACATTTCCTTTAATCCCCCGTTCTCATTACTCATACTCCTGTAGTTATTAATAATTTATTGTTTCTCCAGCACTTTTATTCTCGCTCTCTTTCACTGTACTCTGACCTGCCCTATTTACCATTCATTTTCACATACGCTTGTTCCACCTTGCATTTTCTACACACCGTTCGAAACGAAGAGTTCTGTTTTCCGCGATGAAATGAGACTGCATGTCGCAAAGAAGATTTGAAGATAAGAAAATTGTAAAGTTTCCACTTGTTTGGTGCTCGGAGACGAGGTCGGTGACCTCGAAATCACTGACGCGGTGAAGATATTCAATTTGCAGTGGAATATTATAATTAGTTCCACGATCTATTAAATGTTCTTAAGTATCCCGAGTGGCCTAGCCCCTGAATCCTCTGTTCCCCTGCTCTTGCTGTGCAAGAGTATCCCGTGTTGATATGTTTCCTCCTCGTATATGTTTCCACTCTCCCCTCCTCGCATACATTCTTTATTCGTCCTTCACCACGAAACTAATATCTCCTATCATTCTCGCTTCTTTCGTCCATTTTCTTTAGGTACTCCGCCGTTGCAATCTTCATACAGCACCTGTTGAACCTGTCGGCCCTAATCCTTACTTCTCTCTCGTTTGTACTGCCCCGATCCTCCCCTTATCTGCTCCCCATTTTCCGCTTCCTCCACGGCGTATGGCTTCGCCCGATAATACCGAGCTCCAAATAGTATAACTTTATAATATTTGTTTAATTTGTTACATAAGTTATTGTACTGTATTTTATCATATTTATTTTATTTTGTTGCATGGTATGTTGATACGTAAGGAGATGAACCATTATTTGTAATACGTAAGCAAATTCAATGAAGTTTATATACAGGGTGTCCATCATAACAGTCACAACGATCTTTGAAGCAATAAAAGTTAATGAGTACTTCGATGAGAATAAAGTGCAACAATAAATATTTCGACAAATGATTTTATTCGAAGAAAAACTTGTTTTTTTTAAGTAGCACCATATATTTTTGACTTTGTAGCTTTATAATTGACGTAGAAACGAATTTAACGAACTATATATGTATTAGCTTAGAATATAAGCTTATGTATATATTATTATATTAGCTTAGAAATTCGCAGCGATTGAGAAAATAATTTTCCTACGCGTTAATAGAAGCAACAAGTCATTATGTTAAGATCATTGCGTAGTAGATCGTTGAACTCGTTTCTTCGTCAGTTATATAGCTAACCTGTGCTTTCTATCGAATAAAAATGTTTCTCGAAATTTGTATCATCGCACTTTGTCGTCCTCAAAGTATAGTCCTCACACGACAAGAAGACACCTTTGCGTTTACATTCCCCCTCTTACCAGCTGCCCCACTGCCGCAGCTATGGGCCGCTATTGGCCGAAAACGATCGCTAGTGGGGCAGCTAGCAAGAGGGGAAACGTAAACGCAAAGCTGCCTTCTTGTCGCGTGATGACTATACCTATTAACTTGCATTCAATACATTTTTTGCCGATATAAATGCCTGAAAAATCGGCGTGACAGTTAGGACGAACACCCTGTATAATACCGTGCCTCCAGCTCCCAGCCTCGTTCGTCGTTTCTCCTACTTTCATTTACCCCCCGCTAGCATTTCTTACCAAGCCGACCGCACCCTCTCTCTTTCAGTTTCTCCTAAAACCGAATAGCCCGACTGCCTGCCATTATCTTCGTCTTATTCCTCCTTCCTTCCACCCAGACCTCGTAGCCACGCGTCCTCCAATCTAAATCCATTGTTCACCGCAAAAATCGTACTAGCAAGCGTGCCTCTCTCTTCGTCTCTCTCTCTCTCTCTCTCTCTCTCTCTCTCTCTCTCTCTCTTTTCCTCCAGCCACGCATATCCAACCCAAACAACGCTCCCTACTCTAGTAGCGCATCGAATAATATCCAGACCCCTGCATGCTTCCTTTTCCTTTCTGCTTTCACGTGTCCTATCCTCTGTCCTTTGCATCGCGCATCCCAAGTATTCAATCTCCTGTAGCTGGTTTCGTTCACTTCTGTTCACCTCATCCCTTCGTGCACTTCTTCCCGGTACCTTCGGCAGCCTTATCGCGTCCTCCTTTTCTGCTGCATTATGGCATCCGCGTGTCTTATTGGTAATTGAGCCGTTTATTTTGAAAGTGGCATAAGTCACTTTACCGTAATGAAAAGTGGTGATTTTTTAATTATTATTATTAGTGTAGTGGTATATTAGTATATATATAGTTAGTAGTTATAGTATATAATAGTATAGTTATATATTAGTATATAATATATAGTTATATATATTAGTACATAATAGTATATAATATATATAGTTATATAATATAGTTATATATTAGTATAGTCATAGTGGTGATTTATTAATTATTATTTATACCGAGAAAAATATCAGTATCCTGAGATAACAAATACAAGTAAATCTTCTCGGAAGTTAGCATCCATATTTTTAAACATGTGAAAACGCAAACCCTTAGATATGTCGACTTCAAAACAAAGTGACTTATGCCACTTTCAAAATAAACGGCTCAATTAGTACAGCCAACATCGCCTAATTTTCGTTCATCGTGAAGGCAAAAGTAAAAGCCAGGTAATGTGGAACATCGTAGTTCGACAACGCAATGCAATGTTCAATAGATTTTTCGCATGCTACTTGGAAGAAAAAAGTGAGAATTACACGATCTTCTTTACGGATCCGTTCAGAAGGCATTTTCACTTTTTTTTGGTCATTTTGCCATCATTTCAGAGCAACTGAATCTTATTCAATTTGAATATACATGGTGTCCCAGGTTTTAATGTTCAAACTTTGTCAGTATATTCTATGGCACGAAGTAAGAAAAAAATGTTATGTAAACATAGGTCATATAGAGCTTTATTAAGAAGTTATAACAAAAATTCAGAATAGGAATAGTAGTCAACTAAAAAAGAAATAAAAAATTAAAAAAAATCTTCGATCGATGTCAATCATGCATTGTCAACAACGATTATTAATACATTTCGAAATGTATTAATAATCGTTGTTGACAATGCATGATCTGTCTCTTATACACATCTAGATGTGTATAAGAGACAGATCATGCATTGTCAACAACGATTATTAATACATTTCGAAATGTATTAATAATCGTTGTTGACAATGCATGATCTGTCTCTTATACACATCTAGATGTGTATAAGAGACAGGCTCTCTATGACCTATGTTTACATAACATTTTTTTCTTACTTTGTGCCATAGAATACACTAACAAAGTTTGAACATTAAAACCTGGGACACCCTGTATAAGTGCGGCTACGTGCGAGTTCCTTTGTCAACTCGTGTACACTCGGATGTCGCCAATACAGCGACACAATATATTCATGTGAAAGCGGCATCACTTTTTAATTATTATTCTCCTTCGTGCTATAATGTAATCACGTGAAATGCACAAATATAAAACATGAAATATTATATTTGTCAGTTCGAGCACAGCATAATGATTTTTCTTTCAATTCAATTCTGTACAACGAAATCATGTTTGCAAAATCTGTTCCGAATGCAAAGGGTTAATTTCTGCACTTTTCGCAGGCATTTGAAATCGGATGTTGTTATTACTAACCTTCATTCTATTGGTTCTAACTGAACCGTGGATTTTCTTCGTTTATAATAAAAATGAGCAGCGAGATACGAAACTGTAAAAATACTGCATGAATTTATGAATATAACCATGCTATTTTCGTGTTGTTAAAATTATTGAACGGAGAAATATATTTTCATCTGTGTCTTCTGCCTTTTACAATATTACAGAACGTTATCTGTGGAATTGGAATGTATTAATACCTTTTTCAATGTCATATTTTAACACTATTTCCGGTGCTATAATGTTATTAACGTTATTTATTTGAATCAGAATTACGTTTATTTAGTATATATTTGATTCAGAAGACTCGATGGAAAAGTAAAAACTATATTTTCATTAAAATATTTGTTCATTTATTGTCGATATAGTTTCTCTCTCTCACAGTACATACCGAAGTGTATGCAATAAATTACGAAATAGGAACGAAATTTTTGAATGAAAGGAACGAAAATGTGTGCTACAAAGTGTTCTATCTTTTTTAGTAAAATAAAGTGAAACTATAATCGGCACCTTAGTATCTTCTCCAATCGTTGCAATTCGTTTCGCAGGTATGCGCTATCTCGTACATTACAGGTTATCCGTGTACAATTACTTCCGCTCCAGCTTCTTTTCAATTCCACTGTTACCGAATCACACGTGCAACTGAATTATTATTGTAATCCGATTATAAAACGAGCGGAATAACTGGCTAAGCGTGAAACGACTCTCGGACAGCAAGAAAAATTAAAACTAAAAATTTAACCGTAAAAAAATGTGAGACAGAAGTGAAGTATTTCGGTGCGGCAGTCACACTTTTATTGCCGAATATTTCCGATCATCGATAAAAATCGATAACCAGATTAACGTCGAATTTCTTTCATTAACCCTTTGCCTGGAATTTTTTTAACACGATCCAGCAGCAGCTGAAAAAAGTCCAGTCTGCATATTAATGTATATTACCTTCTTGGAATTTTAATTCTATACATTGTATCATCTTACAGTATAGTAGAGTTAATTTTTCATCGTAAAAAGTGTTCTCAAGTGTACATATATATACTTAAATTGCATAGAAATTACTAGACAGAACAATTTAGTATTATAAATGGAGCGTCGAGCATTTTAGAAAATAATGGAAAATAATTTTCCTTCAATTCGAAGAAAATATAATTCCAAGTAATATACTATTTTAATGACATTTTTTCCAGCGAGCGTATAATTTAGGCAAAATCTTATTCGCCAATGCAATATGAAATAAATTTAATTAATACTTTTAAGCAATTCAAAGCAACACACTGTTATACATATATTGATTTTAATTCATTAAAATGATTAAGAAAATAAATAAATTCTCACGCTTTTTTCCTGTATTTTTTAATTAGTGCAATTTTTATTTCGCATTTAAATCAACAGTCTGGTTATAAATTTTAAGATCCGTCTAATAGTTGCTTCTTTAGTGTTCCATCCTGCCCATTCTTCATAATCCTTACTCAGTTCCCTCGTTGGTCGAGAGATTCAGGCAACGGTGAATAATTGCGCATTGCGAACATCCAAAGTTAAACAATGACTCAACAAAATCATGCGCGAGGAACTCGTTGTAGTCTCGTAGACAAAAATTCAACCTGCTTGAATTGTTTTCCTACTATTGCGTTTACGAAAAGCAGGCAACTCGTCTCTACTTTTTAGTAAAATATCAGTCGAACATTTCTAGATTTTAATCTCCTTTATTTCGAAGAGAAAACAGCAGTTAACAAATTAATTCTTGGGTAGTTTTTTACTTCGATCGTATTCATTTCATTCTACTGTATAATTGTATTATTGCATATAATATACAATAATAATAATTATTATTTTATATATAATATATAATAATAATAATATATTATATATAATATATAATAATAATAATATATATTATATATATTATATTATATTTATATTATTATATTATATATTATATATTATATTATATTATATTATATTATATTATAATATGTTATAATAATAACAACTGTATAATTGTGACTTCGAGCGTGTACTATATTGCCTCGAGAAACGTGAAGATATTTGTGAAACAAACTGCTAACACCATAACCAAAAGTTTTAACCTCCTTTCAGGCAACGAAATTACCTGCTACAAGAATGTAATGTATTTTGAAATAGTGGCATAATTGAAAAGGGGAGGAGAATTAAAAGTTAAAATGCAGTCTGAGAAACGAAATTCTGTGGAATACTTTGACAGTATGTTAGAAGTAAGGATACTCCAAAAATTAAATTTATTTATGATTTAATTCCTCCAGTCCATTGTAACACCCTGACAACTTTGTGCGAATAATTTTATCAACGACTCGACCCATTGCCTTATTGTGCTGAAATAAAATTATAATTTAACTGTAAGATATATTTCAGACAGTCATAGTAACTTCGTCTTTACAATATTTGCATAAACTCATCGAAATAAATGTCTTCAGTCATATTTTAGACAAATGTACATATATTCCTCAGAATTTTTTCTCTCGCGTTTAAATCTTGTTTACCATGTTTACAATAACATTCATTCATCGTCCCATGGATAATCTGAATCAGAAAATGTCATTAAAAAATGTCATTAAAAAATAAATTAAGAACGCTAACTTCTTTAACCTTCCAGACTCAACGATTGGATCGATGAAAAATTCTCAAGTACCGTCTCGAGCCCGCAAATGTTTAGCTTTCGTTGAAACTATTTAAAATTCCGATTGCGTCTGTCATCTACAACTGAACGATGGAGAACCGGCAAACAGACGATCGCTTGCTAACAGACGACAATGACTACCCGTCGAAAGAGAACTCGCGGATCGCTGAGGTCGCGGCGAACACGCTATGCAAGCTAAATAGCATAATAAAACAGCTGAAGAGCCGCGAGGATGATCGTGTGACGCTGAAGAGCAACATTTGGCAGCTGAGGCTAGCGTTGCGGGTCGCCGGAAAGGAAACGGACGACGTCTTGCATGCTGATCCGCTAATCGAACATCAAAGGACGACGATCAAACGGCTGAAGGGGGTGAACCAGACGCTGAAGAAGGAAATCGCTGAGCTTAAAAGCACCCTAAACGAGGACGAGCAGCTTGCTGCCGATTTCGCCGACGTGAAATCTGACGACGAAATCAAACAACAATTGGACGTCGACACGGGACGCGTGAACGAGGAAATCGTCTGTCTGCGAGGTCGGCTGAAAGAGATCGAAGACGGGCAAGAGCGCGGCTCGGATGTGGAGCACCTCGAATGCAGGCTGAAGCACTTAACGATGGTCGATCATACCGTGGAGACGGTGTTTATCGACATCGTGAACAGGGTCGCCGAGGTGATCGCGGATCTCTACGAGGAGCTCGCGACCGTGAGCGAGCACTTGCAGCTTTCGAAACTGAAGAACGAGGATCTGCGTGACGAAGTCGACAGGCTGCGAGCCATGCTGCGATCGAAGTGCGACGACAGTTTGGAGGACCATCGGAATAGAATCGTCGAGCTGGACAACCTGGCGACACATCTGAAGATGGAATTGCGCGTGTGCAAGGCGAACTTCGGCATCGAGTCCTGGAACATGACTAACAACGATCAGTGCAACCTGAGGAACGCCGAGCGATTAGCGACCGAGCTGATGAACAAGCTGAGGAACGACTACGAGGCCCTGCTGGCTACCGGCGATCCAAACTGTTTGCAGTATATCAAAAGGATCGTGGAGCTACGAGTGGACCTGAAGCATTTGCACGTCGCGCTGACGAAACCGGCTTGGTACTCCGACAAGGGGACGGAGTATGAGAGATACTTGCAGCACCTTTCCACCTTGGACGTAAATCTGGAGCAAGTCTGCGTCGAGATCGATCGGTTCAAGGCCGATCACGCGGCGAAGCGCTGCAAGCTCGGGGAAACCGGGGGTCTCGAGTATCTGAAGAAAGTCGAGGGGCTCCGGTCGATCGTCGAAAGGGCTAAACTGATGATAAGTAGGTTGACGCGGGGAACGGCGGGGCCCTCGAGCGAAGCGGAGAACGTTGAGGAATTAGAGGATCTCGTCGAGAGAATGTGTCGGGAGATCAAGCAGTTGGAAACGATGGTCGCGTCCCGCGACGGGCCGAGTTTGTTCAAGAGGATCGAGCATCTGGAGGAGTCGATCGTTCGATTAAAAGTTCAGCTGGACGAGAAGAACGAGCGAGCGGAGCTGATCAAGCGGAAGCTATTCGACGCGGAGGGATCGCTCGAGAAAAGGACCGTGGAGCTGAAGGATATGCAAAGGACGGTCGCGGCGTTAACGGAGGAAAACAAAATATTGAAGGCGAAGGCGAGGAAGGCGGAGGACAGGGCGGCCAAGTTGCAGCGGGAATTGGAGAACGACAAGAAGGAGATAGAGCAGCTGCGGCAGGTGACAAATCAAGCGAACGTAATGAGAACGAAATTGCGAAACCTTCGGACTGATAAGGAGGGATTATTCAAGGAGCTCGGACGGTTGCGCGATTGTTTGCAGAAGAAAAACGATGAGATTAAGCTTATAGCTTCCGAAAAGGATGCGATGGGGAAGGCGTTGCACGCGAAAGCTGCCGATATTGGAAAGAGCCAAGCTGCCTCGAAATTCTTGAACGATCTGAAACTCGCGGAATCGAAGAACGCCGAAGATGGCGTTCAGCTGCAGCGGCTGCGAGAAGAGTTGGAGGCGTCGCTGGAAAGCCTGAACAACGCAAACCTTCGGATCGTTGGTCTGAAGGACGATAAGATCAAGCTGGAAGAGAGCATTCGTTATCTGGAATCGACGGAAACGATGCTCGCTCGTCAGCTAGAGCTCGAGAAAGCCGCGGCCGCGCAGAAGGCGATGGAACAAATGAAATTAACGTCGGACTACAACGAGCTGAAGAACGAGAAGAACCAGTTGACGATGCAATTGGCGGGCTTGAAGACGGAGAAGGAGCTGCTCGAGAAATCTTTGGAAAACCTTCGGGCGAAACATTCGGAAGTGGAGGGCGAACTCGGCGAATACAAGCACCAGTGCAACGTCCTTCGAGAGGAGATCAGAAAGTTCAAAGTAAGCACGGACGATCTGGCGTCGAGGCTCGGGGACGCGCAGGCGGAGCTGAACGGGGCCGGGGACAAAATAAAGCGGCTGGAGTGCGAGAACTCGCGGCACTGTAACAGCTTACTCGCGTTAACGTTAAAGAACACTGATTTCGAGGGCCGCGTGCAAGTGCTGCTGGCAGAAAAGGATGAGCTCGCGACGCGTATTAACGAGCACGCCGCCGAGAACGGCCGGCTGAACGATCAGCTGAATAAAGCTCAAACGGAGAACGAATATTCGTCCGTCGAATTGAATAAATTGAGAGCGGAGCGTGACAAAGCGGGATCGGAGAACGCGTCGCTGCGGAACACGCTCGACGAAACGAGAAATGGCAACGAGACGCTGCGGAGGACAGTCGAGGAGCTGAAAATGAAATTGAGCGATGCCCGCAGCGAGCGCCGGGTGGTCGAAAATCAATTGAGAATTTTCGAGCTGATGAACGCGGCGCTGAAAAAGGACAAGGAAACGCTGTATCGCGAGTACGTCGGCTGCCTGCGATCGGAGCACTCGAAACCGGAGAAGGAATGCGCCGAGTCGGAGAAAGGCGACAGCAAGGTGAGAAAAGACAAGCCCGGCAAACGGTCGAACGAGATCGAGAAGGCCAAGGACAGGAACCGTGAGCTGATAGCGGAGAATAAAGCTTTGAAATTCGAGTTGTCGAACTTGAAGGGCAAGAATTACGAGATGAAGATGAAATTGAACCACCCGAGGGATGATGAGTTCCGGAGGCAGGAGCTCGGCTTGATGCAAAGCGAAACGGACAATGCTGCGCTCAGGCCTGTCATGAATCTTTATTACAACGAGATCAACAGCTACTCCAGTCGTTCTTTCAGCAATCCTGTTGGGACCGTGGCGTGTTTCGATCGGGCGAGCGTTTGCTACCGCGAAGAGATCACAGATCGAAATTCTGGAACGGAAATCGAGAGACTGTTGGACCTGATGAATAAAACAAAAATCGAGAACGTCGCCCTTAAAATGGAGCTGTACAACCTGAGGTGCAATTTTGTCGCTAATTTCTCCGAGGACGGGAAGAGATATCGCGAGCTGCATGATGCATTGGAGGAGACCCGAGCCTTGAAAACGGAACTAACGAAACTGCGAGATGAAAAGGAATCTTTACAAATTCGACTGGAAGCATCTGAAACGAAATTGCACCGACTGAAGTCCGAGAAGATCGCTTTGAAAGACGAGCTGTATGCCTTGAGAAATATGAATGCCGGCTTGAAACGGAAAGCGAACGAATTACAATACAATTATCAAAAATTCACGGAAAGGAGCAGAGATTTCGAATGCTGCATAATGGAAGCTCTGACGAAGACGAAGACGCGCGCCGCGAGCACCGCGGATATCGCTGGGGATGAATTGAAGGGTTTCTTGGAAAAGCTGATTTCGAATGAAACATTTTTGCAATCAATAGAGGTGCAGGGAAACTTCGACGAGTCTCGCTTTGCCGACGTTGCGACCGTATAATTTCATTAAACCAATTTATAATATACTCTGTTAACGATATTTGTGCTCTAATCAGAATCGATGATTAAACAAGAAGAAAATCAAAATTCAGAAACATCCTGATACAATATGCAGTTTCAAATACTAATTTGATGAAGCAGATATTTTTTTTCATTGACAGAATAATTTGGAACTACATCCTTAATCTAAAAATATATTTTCGAACTGAAAATCCTAGTACAAATTGAGAGAGATTGCATCTCTGTCAAAATAAAAGATCTGGAAAATATCTGTCTCTTATACACATCTAGATGTGTATAAGAGACAGGCATATACATATGGCACGCGATAAAACTTTATGAAATAATATCTGTCTCTTATACACATCTAGATGTGTATAAGAGACAGGCATATACATATGGCACGCGATAAAACTTTATGAAATAATATCTGTCTCTTATACACATCTAGATGTGTATAAGAGACAGGCATATACATATGGCACGCGATAAAACTTTATGAAATAATATCTGTCTCTTATACACATCTAGATGTGTATAAGAGACAGGCATATACATATGGCACGCGATAAAACTTTATGAAATAATATCTGTCTCTTATACACATCTAGATGTGTATAAGAGACAGGCATATACATATGGCACGCGATAAAACTTTATGAAATAATATCTGTCTCTTATACACATCTAGATGTGTATAAGAGACAGGCATATACATATGGCACGCGATAAAACTTTATGAAATAATATCTGTCTCTTATACACATCTAGATGTGTATAAGAGACAGGCATATACATATGGCACGCGATAAAACTTTATGAAATAATATCTGTCTCTTATACACATCTAGATGTGTATAAGAGACAGGCATATACATATGGCACGCGATAAAACTTTATGAAATAATATCTGTCTCTTATACACATCTAGATGTGTATAAGAGACAGGCATATACATATGGCACGCGATAAAACTTTATGAAATAATATCTGTCTCTTATACACATCTAGATGTGTATAAGAGACAGGCATATACATATGGCACGCGATAAAACTTTATGAAATAATATCTGTCTCTTATACACATCTAGATGTGTATAAGAGACAGGCATATACATATGGCACGCGATAAAACTTTATGAAATAATATCTGTCTCTTATACACATCTAGATGTGTATAAGAGACAGGCATATACATATGGCACGCGATAAAACTTTATGAAATAATATCTGTCTCTTATACACATCTAGATGTGTATAAGAGACAGGTCCTATATAGTATAATAATATAGTATATTAAGATCTTTCCTTCAAGGTCGTGTTTCTTATATATATAAATATTATTATATATAATAATATTTATATATAAAAAAAACACGACCTTGAATGAAAGATCTTAATATACTATATTATTATACTATATAGGACTACTACTACTACTATTATAGTATATAATATAGTATAATAATATAATATATTATTATATAGTATAATAAAATATAGTAATAATATAGTATATTAAGATCTTTCATTCAAGGTCGTGTTTCTTAAAAAATTCAGTGTAATTGCTTGTTGAGTGCATTAAAATCTGTAACAGACAAATTTTTAAATCCCCAGGAAAGTAAATTGTTTCTAAAAGATCATGGCTCTTCTATTCTTGAAAAATTAGTATATGCATTAGAAAGAAGAAGGTATAGTAACCGATGAAACTATACTTCGACTTGGCAGCGTTTCAACCTGTTACTAAACAACTTGTTGAATTACTTATGTTGTTTAAAGTCTTTATTGCCTACGCAAAATAAATATAAAATTCGTGTTAAATGTATGAAATCGATCAAGTTGCATATACATATGGCACGCGATAAAACTTTATGAAATAATATCGTATAAATAAATATATCCATTTTCTATCGTATCAGATTTCAAATATCGCCGCGCTTTGGAACGTTTCTAATTTTTCGCGTGCGGTTACTCCTTCCTCTTTCACCCATTGGCCCAGAGGCCCGGAGGGTTGGAAATATCAACTTAAAGAACCGACTATAAATGCTTGTACATAGTACGTCGAAGTTATCCAATTAGGGAACATGTATATCAAAGAATTTAACTGACGTTTCGCCTCTGCAACAATATGTACTCTACACATTAGCTATATGCTATAAATAAATTACAAATGTTTTTCTTCGCGTGTAACAAAATCAATTAGAATTATATAGCAATTTCTTGAATAAAGTCTTCTAGTTGTCTTAGGAAAAAAGCTTTTTTATATTTGCCCCTATATATTCATTTTAATTCTTTTATTGTTTACTCCATTTCATTCGCATTACATATATATATGTACATAGCATACGCTAGATTTACGATTGAATCTATCCTTAATCCACAAATACTCGTGTCGAAGAAAATTCTGATTAATTTAAAGTGACCATTCTAGTGTTTTTTTTAAAGAAGGCCAATTCTTTTTCATTTTTTACCCTTAGTACGCGATACCACTGTTGACACGGAAATTGGTAACAATCAAGATGGCTGCTACCAAGTCGAGTATATCCAATGATAATCCGACAAAGAAAGAGGACGAATTCAATGAATTTTACACGGAAGTATGTAAACATTTCGATCGACTGTGTATCGTTACAATATTTCTTCACGCGAAAATCTATTTTGTATAATAATTTGTAGTTACATAACCTTATTTCAAGGGTTATCAAACGTCAACGTGAACGCATTAAAGGGGAAACAATAAACGTAACGTTAGGACGATGTACATAGTTAATTCTTGTTTGCTATATCGTGCCTAAGGTCGTGCGGAATATTACGAACAAGATTGTTTCTTCGGTAAAAGATTGAGTTAAAAATAAACCTAACCTATACAAGCATACGCGCGCTCCAAACCAATTCATTGTGTCGTTTAACTTCCCGAGAATTTTGTTGTTTGCACAGGTGAAGGAAATCGAGAAAAGGGACTCCGTGTTGACGCCTAAGCAACAAATTGACAGACTTCTTCGGCCTGGATCCTCGTACTTTAATTTAAACCCTTTTGAAGTGTTACAAATTGACCCGTCCACCTCCATAGATGAAATTAAAAAAAAATACCGACGTGTAAGTTATTTATCTTTCTATGTATATATATAGTGTAAGTATTTAGTTCAAGAATTTGTATCACATCGTTTGTATTTTCCAGATGTCAATTCTTGTTCACCCTGACAAAAATCAAGATGATGCAGAACGTGCACAACAAGCATTCGAAAGTATGTACTGCGTTTTATTGCATATTACAGGTTTTCTTAATGCATAGTTTACTATTTGTTCTTTTATTGTATTCTACGTGATCGAACGAAATAAGAATTCCAAGCATATAGAGATACGTATAATATAATAATAACAGTGAACTCATAGTACTCTATATATGTACTAACATAGTAGCGTTCTTCAATGCAACTAGAGAAAGTATCTAGTTCCATGTAGGTGTAATGGGAACGTTGTACATGTATAACATCTTATGTTTTATGAAATAGATATATTTCAATATATAAATCATAATATATATCTCTAATGTTAACATGCTTTTTATAGTTGTTAACAAGGCATGGAAGACATTGGAAAACGAAGAAACTAGAGCGAAATGCATGGATGTTATTGAAGAAGCAAAAGCTCGTACGGATCACATGGTAAAAATAAAAAATAGATTATATTTATTTCATCAGACATGTGTAACATTAAAAAATTAAATAGATTTCAGAAAAAAAAAAGAAACTGAAAAAAGAAGGAAAAGCAGATGGTGTATCAATGCTTGAAGAAGAAACAGAAGAAGGTTATAGACATGCCGTTTGGGTTATGACGATGAAACTTTTTGCTGACATGGAGCGAAGAAGGTTTATTACGATCTAGAAATCACAAAATTGTTTATGAATGTAAATACTAATAAATAATGTTTTCTTGTGCATAGGAGAGAGTTAGCCACCAGAGACGCGGAACAACGTAAACGGAAACGGGAAGAAGAATTATCTGCAGAAGCACAGGCTGCGTTAGAGCGTGAGTGGCAAAAAAATTTTGAAGAATCACGGCAATCAAGAGTTGATAGTTGGAAAGCCTTTCAGTCCGGTTCTAACGCTACAAAACAAAAGAAAGCAAAGAAACTAAAAGCATTTAGGCCACCAAAAACGAAAGCTGAATCACGATAATTATACAGATTTTGTTTCTGGCACTTGGCATAAATTATTTCATCCGGTGTTTCATATTTCTTGCAAAATTTTCACCATGTGACATGAAATAACGAAATTCATCGAATATGTAGAATTGGAATTGTTCTTTGAATTTATTTGTTAATTAAAAATTGTGATTTAAAGGTAGTTGAGAATGTGTTGAATCAGGTGTCAAACTGGAGAGAGTGTTATAAATAAGAGTGACGTGTGAATTGAATAGAGGATCATGAAAATAAGTTCTGTATGTATCTTTTAAGAGTAATGTAATGTATGTTTGTGGGACGAAGATTTCTGTGAGTATGTATATGGATACAGAGTCGTGATCAATTTACATGGCCTGATTAAGTTAAATCTTAATGCAGAGATTCCATACGATTAATTATTCGAAAATTATTG